TGAGAAAAACCAACAAGGTAGACAAACCTTTATCCAAAATAACCAAAAGGCAGGAAGAGAATAACCATATTGACAAAATCGGGAATGAAAAGGAGAACATAACAACAGACTGAGGAAACCCAAAGAATTGAGGAGACCCAGAGAATCATCAGGTCATACTTCAAAACCTGTACTCCATGAAATTGGAAAATCTAAAAGAAACGAACAATTTTCTGGATAGGTACCCCATACCAAAATTAAATAAAGACCAGTTAAACAATTCAAATAGACCTATTATCCCTAAGGAAATAGAAACATTAAAAGGCTCCCCCAAAGAAAAAGCCTAGGGTCCGATGGTTTCAGCATAGAATTCTACCATTATTTCAAAGAGGTAATCCTCACAATAAAAACAGAAGAAACATTATCAAATTCTTTTTATGAGGCTATAGTTACATGAATACCAAACCATACAAAGATGCAACAAAGAAATAGAATTACAGACCAATCTCCCTCATGAACATCAATGCAAAAATACTCAATACTGGCAAACCAAATCCAAGCACACACACACACACACACACACACACACACACACACACACACACACACACACACACACACACACACACACACACACACACACACACACCATCCACCATTACCAAGTAGGTTTTATCCCAGAGATATAAGGATGGCTCAACATAAGAAAATCTGTCAATGTAATCCGCCATAAAAACAAACCAAAAAAGATAAACCACATGATCTTATTAGATTCAGAAAAACACTTTAATAAAATCCAAGACCCCTTTTCATGATAAAGGTTTTGGAGACATAAGGGACACAAGGAGCATACCTAAACATAATAAAAGCTATATGCAGCCAACATCAAATTAAATGGAGAGAATCTCAAAGTCACTGAAATCAGGAACAAGATAAGGCTGTCCACTCTCTCCATATCTTTTGATATAGTACTCAAAGTTCTAGCTAGCGCAGTAAGACAACAAAAGGAGATCAAGGGAACACAAATTGAAAAGGAAGAAGATAGACTTTCACTATTTGCAGATGATATGATAGTACACATCAGTGACCCCCCAAAAATTCTACCAGGAACTCCTTCAGCTGATAAACACCTTCAGTAATGTAGCAGGATACAAGATTAACTTGGAAAAAGCAGTAGTCCTCCTATATACAAACGATAAATGGTCTCAGAAAAAAATCAGAAAACAATACCCTTTACAGTAGGCACAAATAATATAAAATATCTTGGGGTCTAACCAAAAAATGAAAGACCTGTATGACAAGAACTTAATAAAAAGAAAGAGAAGAAATCATGAGAAACTAGAAAGATGTCGCATGCTCGTGGATAGGTCGGATTAACTTAGTAAAAACAGCAATCTTATCAAAAGCAATCTACAGATTCAATGCAATCCCCATCAAAATCCCAACACAATTCTTCACAGACCTCAAAAGAACAATACTCAACTTCATATGGAAAAACAAAAATCCCAGGATAACTAAAACCTAAAACAATCCTGTACAATAAGGGAACTTCGGGAGGCATCACCATTCCTGACTTCAGGCTCTATAGAGCGATAATAATAAAAACAGCTTGGTAGTGACATAGAAACAGACACTTGTATCAATGGAATCAAATTTAAGACCCTGACATAAATCCACACACCCATGAACACTTGATTTTTGACAAAAAATCAAAATTATACAATGGGAAAAATAAAGCATCTTCACAAATGGTGCTGGCATAACTTGATTCTACATGTAGAAGAATGCAAATAGATCCATATCTATTGCCATGCACAAAACTCAAGTCCAAGTACATCAAAGACCTCAACATAAAACCAGTTACACAGAAGGGAAAGTGGGAAACTGCCTTGAATGCATTGGCACAGGAGACAGCTTCCTGAATATGAGTAGCACAGACACTGAGAGCAACAATCAATAAATGGGAGCTCCTGAAACTGAACAGTTTCTGTAAGGCAAAGGACATAGTAAGACAAAATGACAGCCCACAGAATGGGAAAAGATGTTCACCAACCCCATATCTGACAGAGGACTGACATCCAAAATATATAAAGAACTCAAGAAACTAGACATAAAAATACTAAATAATCAAATTAAAACATGGGGCACAGATCTAAACAGCCACCAAAACACCAAACAATGAAATTAAAAAGAGGGGTGCAGAACTAATAAAGAATTCTCAAAGAGGAATCTTAAATGGCTGAATGACATTTAAGAAATTGCTCAAAATCCTTGGCCATCAGCTCAACATCCTTAGTCATCAGGGAAATGAAAATCAAAATGACTCTGAGATACCATTTTACACCTGTCAGAATGGTTAAGATCAAAAACCACAAGTTACAGCTTGTGGTAGAGAGGGTGTGGAGTAAGGGGAACACTCTTCCACTGATGGTGGGAGTGCAAACTTTTACAGCCACTTTGGAAATCAATATAGCAGTTTCTAAGGAAATTGGGAATCAATCTATCTCAAGACCCAGAGATACCAATCTTGGGCATATGTACCCAAAGGATGCTCAATCATACCCCAAGGACACTTAGTCAACTATGTTCATAGCAGCATTACTCATAATAGCCAGAACCTGGAAATAATCTAGATGGCCCTCAACTGAAGAATGGATAAGGAAAATGTAGTACAATTACCCAATGGGGTATTACTCAGTTGTAAAAAACAATGACCACATGAAATTTGCAGGCAAACAGATAGAACTAGAAAAAATCATTCTGAGTGAGGTAACCCAGATGCATAAAGACAAACATGGTATGTAATCAATCATAAGTGGATATTAGCAGTAAAGTATAGGATAAACAGCCTACAATCACAGCCCCGGAGAGGCTAGATAACAAAGAGGTCCCAAAGAGGGATGCATGGATTTCCCTGAGAAGGGGAAATAGAGCCTATCTCCTGGGTATATGGGGGCAAGAAATGGGGGGATGGAGGGATGGAAACTTGAGGGAGCAGGGTGGGCAGTGGGCTGGGTGTAGGGTGGCAGAATGGAGGTGGGACCAAGGAGTAATGAAAGAGTAATGAAAGAGAGGTCTTGATAAGGGGGGCATTTGGGGGTTAGGTAGAAGCATGGTGCCAGAAAACCCCCAGGAATCCACAAGGATAACCCCAGCTATGATTCCTACCAATAGTGGAGAGGGTGCCTGAACTGGCAATTTTCTGTAATCAGATTGGCGACTACCCTAATTTTCATGGGAGATGCTCTATCCAGTAACTGATGGAAGCAGATGCAGTGCTCCACAGTCAAGCACTGGGCTGAGCTCTGGGAGTCTTTTGAAGAAAGGGCTGAGGGACTGTACAAGCCAGGTAGGTCATTAACAAGGGAACCCACAGAAACAGCTGATCTTACCTTGTGGGGAGCTCATGGACTCTGAACCAACAGTTAGGGAGCCTCCATGGGACCAACCTAGGCCCTCTGCATGTATGTGACAGTTGTATAGCTTGATCTCTATGTGGGGCTCCTAACAGTGAGATCAGGACCTGTCCCTGGAGCTTAACTGGCTATTGGGAATCTATTCCCCATGTTGGATTTTCTTGCCTAGCCTTGACTCAAGGGGAGGAATTCTGTCCTCCCTCAACTTGATGTGCCATGCTTTGCTCAATCCCATGCAAGGCGTGCCCCACTCTGAGTGGAGTTACAAAGAAGGAGTAGAAGAGGAAAGAGGTAGATGGGAAGTGGGTGGTGGGGGTGGGGTGGGGCTGGGAGGAAAGGAGGGGTTATTTAGAAAAGAAAAGTACCATGTTGGCTTTGGTCAAGAATTTAGTATTAAACAAGATAAAAATGAAACAAGTATTTTAAGAAAGCTGGGAAGTAAAGAGTATTTTTCAATGACTGAAAAAATGTTAACATGCTTTCAGTTAACTATAAAATCTGCATATTCAAATTAATCTTGAAAAATGCCAAATCATTAAGATTTTAAAATAATCATAAACAGTTTTTCTAGGAATGGCATGAAGGTTTTTCTGGCTCCATCTACAGAGTTTTTGAAGTCAGTTTCATCTTGTAGATGATGGGAAGAAGTTCATATAATAATTCTGACTGGAGAACAATGAAGTCAAGATAGAATTCTGGTCTCTTTTCAAAATAGTTATATTAAAAATCCTTAAATCTATTATTTATTAATATTTTTCAACCATAGTCCACAGATTAGAATTATAGCCTACAAAATAAACTGTACCCTCAATAATACAAATGGCCAAATCTGAACTCATAATTTTTAAATAATATTTAGTGTAAATTAACATATCCAAGGCCAGAAGTCTTGTCAATGCTTTGTAAATTCACAGTTCACTTAATATGATTATTATTTTTAATAATATATTTTAATTATATATTAAATAATATATATTTAATAATATATTTTAATCATAATATGATTATTATTTTTTTAAAGTTATAAATTTAAATTTATAAATAAATTATTATTTATACAGTCTTCTGCCTGTATGCCAGCAGAGGGTATCAGATCTCATTCAAGGTGGTTGTGAGCCAACATGTGGTTGCTGGGAATTGAACACAGGACCTCTGGAAGAATAGTCAGTGCTCTTAACCGCTGAGCCATCTCTCCAGCCCACTTAACATGATTATTGATGGACTCATAAATTACTATTATTTCAATATTAGATTTTTAATGTAGTTCTTTTCCAGATCCAGAACCTTCTGTGTCAATAGTCTCTAAGAATCTCCAGGTAGAGAGCCCTCAAAAGGACAACCCACATCTGTAGGAACTGCATGCATGTATATCATTCAGTTAGCCTTTTCTCCTTGAATGATATATCTTTACCAATCATTTGGTTAAAATGAATCTATAAATGAGTAAGGAATCATGAGGTGGTAAAGTGTTCTTGTTCCCTAGTTGGGAGAATGCCTTGGTGCCATATGTCTAACTATGTCTACTAGATTCAATTACCTTTATACCAGTGTTCTAGCTCTTACTGGGTTTACATTCTTATGCGGAATACTTTGGTCACTACTCACATTTGATGAAGAACTTGTGCCATGGTCACTCCATTAGTCAGCTGTTTGACATCTTGACAGGGTGAGGCAGTCTTGAATGTCTGCAGCTAAAATGATATAAAACAAATCACCTTAATGTTGTACTATCCCTACAACACAAAATAAAATGCAACTAAAATTAATTTTATTTTGTTTAAATATGTATATTTCTACGGCTGCATAAAATGTTTAAAAACAAACACATTTTATATAAAATCAAGCCTAATATAGTAAAATGCAGTAGTGTTATGTATAAAATTACTCAGCGTTTCTAAAGAACACAAACTCTCAGCTGTATCTATTGTAAAAAGAACATCACAGAAAGAACTTCAAGATAACTGAGCAACTACTACTAAACTTTCATCGAAGTTACTCGATAGGAAAATAAAAGCTAGAAGTGTTAGGTCTAAAATTACTTATACCATATGAATGAGCTCTGAAAGAAACAGGATTATCCAACAATTAGCCATTGAGCACAAACAGCTGATTTGTTTCAATAGGATGGCTTCAACTATGGCTAACATTTCAAATATTTGATTTTAAAAATGTTCATGAGGTCGAAAAGATGGTGCTGCTGCTAAAGCCTGATGGTCTGTGTGCAATCTCCAGAACTGACATGGTAGAAGAGAGAACCAACTCCTGCAAGTTGTTTTCTGGCCTCTACACTCCAGTCATAGCATGTGGGCAAACAATTATTGTCATTTTAAAATTTCACGTATACTTTAAGAAAAAGTAGGATAGCGACATCTTTTTTAAAAACAGAAAATACAAGATAAATTTTATAAAGCAAAGTAAAAGTTAAAATGGATCATATAAATTTATAGAAATCTAATCTCTATCCATACTTAAATTCATTATGATTTTTATACATATTCATTCCCTTCACTTTTCATTACTATCCTCAAATTTAACATTTAACTATCAAAGTCTATAAAATTCCATTCCAGCATAACTCACTATGATTTTGTGTGTTTAGAGATTCAACAAATCTGTCCCTGTTTCTCTAACACAAAAGAGAGATAGAATGGGAAAACTAAGGCTAGCTATCACTGCTTTAAAATCCCATGGAGACAAGTTCTTGAGTTCTCACTTGATGTGGGCACTGTGGTACCAGACAAGAGTACAAGGGAAAAATTACAAGATTCTCCCTCAAAGCAGCTATCATTAAGAATTATAAAAAAGAGAAAATGGCACATGTCATACTGAGACAAGGGCCAGAGGAAGGAAGCATATATATACAAATACAAGAGAAAAATGGTATTTTTAGGGAGCATGCATTTCAGTATCATGGGATTGTCAGTACTAAGGAGGATGGGAAAAACTGTCAACCAAGGGGATTCAAGAGACAGGCAGGAGTGAGGATGCTGAAGGATCGTGACAAACAGCTTGGACTACATGTTATCCTTAGTAAAACCATCTATGTAATGGGAAGCAACCAGAAGACTTTCTACCACAGAAGATGACTGGGAGAACTAAGTGAAGGAGGGAGCATAATTACATCACAGTCTGCACATGGTTTTGTGCTCAATGGCTACTAGCACAATCTGGACAAGTTTTCCTTGAGTATAATACTACAGGGAAAATACATGCTCAAATCTCCAGACACATTAAGTCAGAAAGTCCAGGGTGGTTCTTGTACCTGTTGGCTTTAGAGAAATATAGAGTCACAAAGAAGTGAGAAGGAAGAAGAGAGATACAATAGAAACACAGAATATGAAAAGTGCTTGTGTACAGGAGATGAGTTAGGAAGTTCCTGCAGCCACCCTGTTTATAAAATGGACAGCACTGGGACATATATAATGTGAGCTCAGAGTACAGGATTAATGAAGTATATGAGACATAAAACAAGAATTTTGCAACTGGGTGGATACTCAAGAAAGAGAAACTGCAGTACCTGTAAAAGGAAAACATTGTGGCTACCATTTTCTATTTACATGTTAACTTTTCATCAATGTTTTACGAAATGGATATGATTAGTGGCTTTAAAGGATCAATTTCAGAATATTAGGCAGAAAAACCCTGATAGGAGTTAGTGAGATGGCTCAGCAATAAAAAACACTGGCTACCAACCTTGACACAAGTTCAATTCCTGGAACTCCCATGGAGAAGAAGCTCCCTCAAGTTGCCCCATCTCCACATGTACAATAACTGAACGTAATTTAAGAAGTTTGAAAAAGCAATGTAGACATATACATACATTATATCTATGAAATGGAGTTGCCTTCTTGCATTGTGTTTAATATCAACTTTTCCTCTTAACTGCAAATGAAAGTAGGTAACAAAGTAATTTCACTTGGGTACACTGAAAAGCTTTATAACCGAGAACAACAACAAAAATGTCTTAAATGAGACTGGTAAGATGGCTCAGTGCTAGGAGCCTTGGCTGCTCTTAGGAATAGGGTTCAATTCCCATCATTTATATGGCAGCTCACAACCATCTTTTAACTCCGAGGGGATACAATGCCAATTTCTGGCCTCCTTGGGCACTAGGCTTGCACATAGTGAATGTGAGAGCAGGTGTAAATACACACACATACACATAGTGAGCATGAACACAGCGAGCGCATACATACATCCACAAGCACATACACAGAATACTCAACACACAAAAATACTCATACACATAAAAATAAGTAAAATCTCAAAATATAATTTGAACAGTAATTTTCTCAGATTGCACATGTCTGCTTTTACTCTAACCTTTTAAAGTTAAAGCAAAAAGAAAATAATGATTAAAGTAATTTGGCCCAATATCCTTAGCTACTGGTGAAAGTTGAGTTCAAAGGTAATAAATAAAAAAGAACCTCATGACACTAAAAACCACAATGAAATTTGAAAACATTTCTTCAAACTTTACATATTCCCTCTCATATAAATTATACAATTTTTCCCTTTGACTTTGTATTTTCTAAGTAGCAGTACATTTTAAGAACTATTTAAAAGAAACATCCAGATGATAAAATCTAACACTTAAAGAGTTACCAAAAGAGACACCCTTCACCTAGCCAGCTTCTCTTGATGATGCTCCTGCTTCAAGGAAGACCTACTCCTGCTGCAAAAAGCCGCACTACTTCCAGCCATCTGCTCACCTGCATGACTTGCCTACTGCAAATGTTTTTCATTTCAATCTCAGAAACAGTGCTAGCTCTTCTCAAACACAAAATTACTTAGCATATTTGGGGATACTTTATGGGCCAAAGACAACCTGACAAATGTCTATCTTCTACTACTTCCTTTCAGGGTACAGACAATAGAGTTCATGTGTATCAATGACTACTAATAGTTCTCCACTGAGTTTGGAACTGATTTTCTATGATTTCTACTCCTTGAAACAATGATGCAACTAAAAATACAGAACAAGAAGTCTATACTAGTTAATGGTGGAATGTCATTCTTAGAGGGCAGAGTCAAGACAACTTTACTTTGATTCAATATATTGAGATCCTAGTGTGTATTCCTCCTCTTAGGGTCACAAAAAAAGCAGATCAGGCACGGGTGGGTTCTGTTGCCAAGCAGTAAACTACTAGATAATTTCAGAAAGGCCTGTTAGCCAGAATGAGTTCAAGGCTAACCTGGCATCTCAGATTATGTCTTGACTTAAGTAAAAAGGAGGTTGAGGATACAGTTATGTTGGTGGAGCACTTGCAGAGACCCCTAGTTCAATTTGGGGGTGGGCAGGAGAAGCAGCAAAGGAAAATAAATGATAAAGCAATGCTCTAGAAGAGTTGGAGGGAATAGGTTTTAAAGCTAGATCCAAAGATAAGGAGGTAGTCTTGCCTAAAAGCCAAGATCCAGGTCAAAGTAGCACCAAGCAGTGTGTCCATGAAGCTTCCTAAGTAGAGCTACCAGGTTATTCTCAATCACAAAACTGGGCAGTGTTATCGTGAAAGGTACATCTGGCCATAACAGCATAACTATAAGACAGCAATGGTTTGTCAGTCGTTCAGTTTTCTCCAGTATACAGCAGCCTGGGACAGCAGAAGCCAATAAGCCACTGGCAACCAAGTGCCCTCTGTTTGTGATTCCTTATTTGGTTCATATTCTTTCAGATCTTGGGGAATTTTGCCTTCCACTATAGTTACCCACAGCTAGGCAGTTTAACTGAATCCTGACAGCCTAGCACCCAGTAAGAAGTTAATAAAAACTGCTTTAAGAATGGACGTGGTTTTAACATTTTTAAATATGGCAGTGCAGTTTAAGAATATCTTGTACTTCAGCACCTGACAGGGAAGTCAGTGACATCATAAAGAACCAAGCTTACCATTTCAGTCATGATCAGACCACAAAACTGGAGATCTGGGCACACCCTATGATTAGCAATTTGTTTCTAAACAAAGCAGATCTTTAAAAATAATACTGCCTTCTTTCCTGACAATCTCAAGTAGACTGCCTAAACCTAAACAATAATTAAAATAAACATTGGGATTGACAATGAGCTAAATGCTTTAAACCCTGAAATCCCAGCTACTGGCATGCTACTTAAAACATGTTATTTAAGTCCAAAGTGCAAAACTAACTGCATATTTCAAACACTCACAGAGATCTTTCTTATTTGTCCTTTGGATTTGTTTGCATTAGGAGATGGCTAGGCAATCTCTTGGAGAATGTAATCCCTTCTGATCCAGTCTATTTGCATTCCAATCAGACAGACGGCCTTCCACAAAACTGCACAACTGGGCTGAGCGGCGAGAGTCATCAACAGCAGTTTGTGGGGCGTCAAGTATTACGCTAGCACAATAAAGGTTAGGAATCACACCTGGATGCCAGTTCTGTCCGATCTAGGCAATTTCAACAGGTAAGAAACCATTTTGCTCATTGGAATAATGGAAGAATCTGAGGACAGAGTCAGTTCGTCAAGTCTGCACCAATGAGTCCTGCACATGGAGCAAGGGTAAACAAAAATGCCAATTCTTTTTATTCTTTACAAAAGAAAAGGTATTGAGAAGGGAAGGGGAGGCAGAGAGGTAGAGAAAAAGAGCTCCCATTGCAAAGGCAGGTTGGCCGTCTCTCTTAAGCTGTGTGGGCCCACAGGGAGAGCAAGCTGGGGACCGAGCTGGCCAGCATGTCCTAGCCACCTGTGCGCGGTGGGGCGCTGTGGCTGGGTGGAGAACCCGGAGAACCCGGTCTCGGACGGACGGGAAGGCTGCCAAGCAGGTGGACGTGGCAGCACGGGGGTCCCCGGCCCCGCCCGCCCCGC